AATACATGAGTAGTTTACAACAAACTTTTAAGATTGTGGACTCATTCCTTTTTTTTTTTTTTTTTTTTTTGGTGGTAGTGGTTGTTGAACTCAGAGCCTCTTGCCTGCTAGGTTCCCTACCACTTTTTGCTTTAGTTATTATTTTTTTAAGCTAGAGGTGCACTCTATGCCCAGGCTTGCCTGAACTGCAATCCTGCTATTCATACATTCTGTTAGGATGACACATGTGTGCCACCATGCCCAACCATTGGTTGAGAATGGGGTCCTACTAACTTTTTGCCTGGGCTGGTCTTAAACTGCAGTCTTCCTGATCTCCACTTCAACAGTAACTAAGATTATAAGCATGAGCTACTGTGCCTGGTCCAAATGTTTGGACTTATGGTAGGTTAATGACAGACATTGAAGGTGCATGAACAGGGTCTGTCTTAACATGCAGCGGGCTGACTTGAGAAGTCTCCTAAAGGTTCCGCTGTTAAAAAATAATTCCCTTGAAATTACAGATGATGATGATAATAGATTTTTACTTTGTATAAAAAATACAACCTGCTATGGTGAAGCATGCCTTCATGCCTGTAATTCGAGGGTCTGAGACAGGATAATGAGTTTCAGGCCACCCTGGGCTACATAGGAAGATCCTACTTAAAACAAACAAAGAAACAAAACGCGGGCGTAATCTAAGCAGAATGCCATGGCACATGCCTCTAATCCCAGCCATTTGGGAGGATCATGTGAGCCTAGATGTTTGAGACCAGCCTGGGGTGTAGAGTGAGACACCCATTTCTAACAAAGAAAGAAAGAAATAATATATTCTAAATAACGTATACTACAGCCACAAATGGGAGTTATATTTATTTGTGCTACAGCATATTTTAAATATTACTCATTAAACTGAGTGTGTGGATGACAGAAAGCACATGCTATAATTCATATGGTCCCCACACACCTCTTCAGTTCTGTACAGCACTTTTTTGTACATCACCTATCTAGCCTTCATAGCAAGCCTGTGAGGGACATAATCATTGCTTAGTGACTGAAAACACAGAACTCAGGAGGAGACAACCCAGTTCAGATTGCAGCTCTGCTCCTCACTGGGTCTGTGGCTTTGAGCATGTCACCCACTTTCTCTGAGCCCCAATTTCCTTATTGGTCAATTAAGAGGATGATTCATTCCCACAGGATTTCTTTTGGAACTCTGTGAAGTAATGTAGATCACATGTTTAGCATAGATCTGGCATTAGTACACGTAGAGTATCCAGCAGCGGAAAGACAGGCTTGAAGAGATTAATTAAACCTTTGCTAAGAGCAGAGCCTCAGAAGTGGCAGAACTTGAACCAGACTCGGTACAGTGTGGTGAAGACTTTGGATTGAAAGACACAGTGTCTGGGCTGGTAGAGCCCCAATGTAGCTTGGTGGTAGAGCACTCACCTAGCATACTCAAGGCCCTGAGTTGAATCCCCAGCACTGGAAAAAAAAAAAAAAAGACACAATGTCATTATACACAAAATTTAAAATTTGATTTGTATTAAAAGTCCTCTCATTGAGCTGGACATGCTGTAATCCTAGCACTGGGGAGGCTAAGTAAGGCAGGAAGATTACCAGTTTGAAGTCAGCCTAGGCTACCTCAAAAAAAAAAAAAAAACCCATCAAGTATTAAGAACTTAATAAGAGAATATTCTGTGGTATTAGGATATAATAAGTATCGGTTCACTCTTGCCCTTCAGAGGTTTAATCAGAGAGAGAGATAACCAACATCTAACTTTACTACAGTTCTGAGGGCTCTGTGGCCTTCAAATCTAGCATGCTCATGTCTTGGAGGTATCAGTGTAATGTTAAGATAGCTAACTTACTTTCTAACTACAACTGTTAGCTGAAAATAAGGCCCAGTGTAAGAGTATAGCTTAGTTTTCATGAAGGTGGAGTGAGAGGAAGAGGAGGAGAGAACAGACCTAAATACAGGGATGCTGGGAGGGGCCAGGTAAAAAACTAGTCCTGGACACTTTGGAGGGATGTGGGGCAGACACATTGTAAGGATGAGGAAGGCAAAGGCTCCTGGGATTTCAGGTAACAGCTTTACATAACAGGTGGTTTTTAAAAATTAGATCTTGAAGATGAAATTTGTCATAGGAGAAGAGGATAACTAAATTACAGGAAAATTAATTTAATGAAGATCAAGTAGTTTGGCAGTTCTCATGGGGGCTTTTCCATTGCTCCAGAATGATCTTAAAGTAAAGACATGTCTGCTAAAACAGGTGATAAAGTCTCAGTGTACTATAGTTTATGTTAACCTGATTACTTTGGGGTTTATTTTTCAGGTTATCCTTTGTTACCTGATTTCTTCTTAGATGAACACCCAGATGTAGTGATGAAGAAAAAGGAATCACATAGTAAGATCTAGACCATATTTTATGTAGAAAATGCAGATATTAAACTGATGTATTTCCTTCAAAACACAGAATGATCCTACACCAGTGACAGTTCTGCCCTGTGCCTCTAAACCATTTTGTAATTTAAACAAGTTCTGTGAGCTCTCAGTTAATTCTAGAAAAGAGATTGTGTTTTCTTTCTACCAGTAAGAAATTCTTTGTGTTTTTTTTTTGTCTGTTTTCAGTTTTATTCATTTTCCTTGACTCACTATCTTTGGATATTTCATGTTGTTGTTTTATTTTGAGGAAAAATGTGTCATATCAAAGTATATCTAACACCATTTTCACAGTTTGTACTGTGACTATTTTATGGAAGGAATTAACTTCAAAGAAGGTCTTGGTTTTGTTTTGTTTCTGTAACTCAAAAATAATAGCCCTTTGAATTGGTCCAGAGCTTATATTTTAATCCTGTGTTCTGGCATCATGCCTGTGGTTTATTGAAAGATGTCAAAAGCAATCCTCCTTAAGGAATTCCCGGGGGTTGTGACTTACAAGAATGTGCCTCTTCAGGGCCCTTACCTTATTATCTTATAGATGCTATGAACCATATTTTTCTAGAAGGCTGATAGAAAATTATGGACAAATTTCCTCTATACCTTAGCAAATCTATAGGATGTATTTGATACATTTTAGTATCAAAACTTATGTCCAATGTAGTGATTTTTGTTGTTGTTTTTCTTGTGGTGCTGGGGATTGAACCTGGGGCCTTGCCCATGCTAGGCAAACCCTGTACCACTGAAGTATATACAACCCCAGCCCAGTATATTTTTTTTTCATTTTTCTTTTATTATTCATATGTGCATACAAGGATTGGTTCATTTCTCCCCACTGCC